ATGGATAGAAGGCAGCTGTCAAATTAATTCCTATATATATAATCGTAGTTAGTAATTTTAAAGTTGGAATTTCTTAAGGAAATTTTAAAACATAATAGTTAATTTTTCCTTAAGAGAATACACTTTTCTCATAATATTGTAATATAGTGAGTCGTTTTTAAGATCATAAAAAACTGAATTAATTTGCCTTATGTACAATGTGTATACTACTCCTACGATAAAGAAGATATAACACACAAAATAAATCATAGATTATTTTCACGAATCACACAACCAACACAAATCAAGGCTCATTACTTTTCTGGGGGATCAATATAATCTATAATTGCAATAATGTTCCACATGAATATATTAAACTGCCCAGAAAACAGAGATCTCAAAGATAAAAAGAGAAATAAGAAAAATAACTCTATTCCACGATGGCAAATTATAATTTTGTTTCTCAAATAAACAAAAAAAAATGAAAGTTTTTGATTTAGGAAATTGATCAAGCCCATTTGGCCAATATAGACATGAGGCCAGCACCAAGAAGGAGAGAAATATGGGCCACAATTTGAAGCCCAGTATTGGATTGCATTTTAGGGTGCATGAAATCTGCTGCGAGAAGGTCCACCAGAGACATGTAGATGAGAATACCTGCAGATGCAGCGTTTAATACTCCTTGAACGATCAGAGCCATTGGTGAAGATTCATCGTACGAATTTGCTATTCCCATTCCTAAAGCGATTCCTAACGGAGTCGTTAAAGCGAAGAACATTGACATTATTGTTACCGATAAACATTTGAATTTTCCCTGCAACCAAAATGAATCACATGTAAAATGACAATGATTGTGATATACAATAATACTATTTTTTTTTTNTTTTTTAATGAATGTAAAAATATTATTCATTGTAGAAAGACTCTTTAGGAAGCTTGAGAGGCAAACCAGTCCATCAACCCGTAGTTGTCATAGTAAAATTAATTTTTTAGTTTCGATTATTATTATTTTGTCTGAAAAACGTTTATATCAATCTATGATATATCATCTTAAGGAAAAAATAATCACGTTTTTTATTTGTAATAGGCGAATGGTAAAATTTTGGGACAAAAATGAAAATAGCAAAACTTATCTTTCTAATCGTTTCTCAGTATAAAAGTCAGGAAGGTGTGCTACCAATAAATTAATCTTGAAAACTATACAATAGCGTAACTCTCTTTAAAATATATGATAGTAGATCAGTCAGAGAAAAGCGTAATTTCATTATCATATATATATGGACTGAGTTTATGTCGAATATATATATATAGAACTTGTTTAATAAAGTGAATAAATTATGAATTAACAGAAAAGAAAAAGTAGTATACCTGAGCAATGCAACCACCAAGACCAAGACCTTCGAAGCATTGGTGAAACATTAAGGCAATGAAGAGAGCTTTTGCAGCTTCTGGACTCTGTGAAGCTCCAAGTGATATTCCTATTACCACTGAGTGTACTATTATTCCCAACTCCAATACCTTTTTTGAGTTTCAAAATTAAACCAAAAGAACATTAAGTCTGAGGTCATTTCAAATATCAACATTTTTTCTAACTTACTCAATGTGGATCATGTAAATTTAGATTTAGGATTTTCGCATTCCAAATAGTGGACTTAACCTTTCTCTTATATTTTAAATTCGGCATGTTAAAAGTATATAACCATAAGAAAAGTTTTTTTTCAATGTGACATGTTAAAGCTAACCAAATGAAAAGTTATTATTTGGAAAATTTCGGCAGTCAATATATATATATAATAAGTGGTGGTTTCTTTAGAGTTTAGAGAATCAAATCTCACATGGTCCGAATCTGATTCACTCGCGTCGACAACAAATAAACTCTCACAAATGCATGAAATTGTTTTTCTTTTCTCTCTCTGTCCAAAGATAATACTTAAGAAATTCGAAGAATATATATAAGCATGCATGATAACTTTCTTTAATTTTGTGTACATGGAATCATGGATCAATTGTTTTCATGTTTATTTTCGTTGTTTAATTATTTCAAAAAAATTAGCAAAATGACATTCTTTAAAAATTAGAAAACTTAAAACATTTCATAATAACGTTTTGCGTATCCCTTTGCAATTATGTTCGACTTGAAAAAATAAAAAATAAATATTCATATTTCTAATATTTAAACTAGAAAACGCTATGATTGTTTAAACGTGTAGGTCAACAAACCTGTGCAATAACTCTGGTTCGAAGAACCTGAATCTTGGCGGTGGACTCGCTGGAAATCTCCACTCCGTCTTCTCCGTCAGCGATCCTCCTCGACGCCTTAGAATGCGACTTATAGAAACTCGAAGTGGCGAATGTATCAATGGATAACGTCAAGATCGCAGCCACCATAGCAATAAATCCGGTGAATGGAAAATCCCATGCTTCGGACGTGAGGCACGGCGAGTTAAGCATCACGTAAGCCTCCGGTAAAACGTGCATAAATCCGGTAGAGAGGATAACTCCGGCGGCAAAAGCTTTGGTTATAAAAAAGAAAGATGTTTCAGGACGCAAAGAAGGGAAGACTTTTCCTAAGAGAGGGAAAAGAACTCCGATTACTCCGGCTAATAGAACGGAAGGAATAGCGGCGATCTTGTATTTCTGAGCTCCGGCTTTGTTTTCATGATCGTCGTCGTGAGAGCATTCGCATTTCGGTTTCCCGGAATGCGAATGGCCCTCATGGCCTTGAGCCTCGGCGAAGGCGATCAGGAGGAGGGAGACGGAGAAACAGAAGAGTAAGAGCTTCATGTTCTTCATCATTCTCTCTTTTTTATAATTTAGGGTTTCTAGGAAAAAGTTTTTTGGATTCTTGATGATGATGAAAGAAGAGAAAAAGTTGGTATGGAAGTGGAAGGTATGTGAATGTGTATATATACGTATATTAATATCATATAAACTTGTGCTAATATTTTTTTTTCGTTTTGTTTGGTCGTTCATTAACAAAGATATGAGCTAATTATTATGTTCAGAAACTAAAAAAACAAGAATTATTGAACTTATGATTTTGTATCCCCGTTTGCCCCCCTATTTTATTATGTTTACGATTTTTTTTAATAGGACAAATCATTTAAATTAAGTCAATTGTTTTTAGGGAAGTATGCAATGTCCTAGATTAGGAAAGCATTTAAATGTGTAAGAGAATCAAAATAAAGATAAAAGTTTTGAAGAAGAAATACTCTTTTTATTAATTCATTTCAACTTAACCATTACAAAGAGGTTTATGTTGCCTTTTATACACGATTTCGAGCTAGGTTAAACTGAGGACACACGGGTAGATCGTCTGACAAGTGTCAGACGTCAGTAGCATCTTGACCAGATGATCCAAGCACTGCATAACGGTTTGATAAGATCAAATCTCCCTCCGTACGTCTAGTTGTCTCTGTAACTCTGCTTTTATCTTCTTCCGAGCCCCTAGATGACCGTTGACAGCTTTGTTTCAAATCTGATCTTGTCATGGGTTTGGGTTTCTTTGGATCATGGGCCTTTCGTTGGTTTGTTAGACTGAAACCCTCTTTTCAGGCAGAGACTCTGTTGATGTT